ACGGAGGGATAGACTGAAAGTACCTCCGAAGTTAGTTTTTGGATATTTTAAAGTACTGAGGAGTATATTTTTAAAAATGATGGGATCTAAGAGTTCTTATCACAAAACTGAATGTATCTACTATCTAACATCAATTTTTGCGTTAAATTGGATGAGAGAAAGTCGGGGTCTTAACCTTCTGAACCCCTTATATTAAAAGGGAAGATTATTTGGAGTGATACACGTAATTTTAAAACTAATTTAAGATAGAGTTAAATATGTTTTTAGTCTTTATAAAAAAGCAAATTTTATTTTGGTTCCTTGTAAATTTTTTCATTTAAGTCATCTTTAAACATCATGAAAACTTTTGATTCATTCAAATAGTGCATTAATTTCATACTCAACATTCTAGTATTGCATGTCTAATTACTTCAACACAGTCTTCATACTCTAAATTTTATCATTCAACGAATTACTTCTCTAATCATCAAATTTTGTTTTATTATATTATGAATAAATTTGGTTATTGGAGATGTGATATAAATGAGGACACAATTTAGGGTATTCAAATTGGGTTAGAGGCAATTAGAAATGAAGACCAAGTTGTTGAATGTGAAATAAATGTGATATTTCAACTAATTAAAAATGTTAATTACGTTTATGAATTATTTTCAAAGTTAAAATTTTTATAAACATAAAAATTACATTGAAAAAAAAAATTAGAGTAGCATAATTTACAGTAATTAAAAACACATTTAACTCTTTAAAGATATAATTAATTCAATTATTGACTAATTGGGCCGCCCAGCATGTGGAAGGCAGGCCAAAGTGGATAATGGGTAGACTGCATGTGATTAGCGGGCCCTGTCGGTTCAAGTCACATACTCCGTATATTCTAAGATGGGCCATGTACACATTAACTCTAGTATGGCTCACGCCTACAAATCTTGGAGCAGGTCGGATACGTTTGGTAGCATCTATTTCTAAAAGATTACGCCATCTTATTTTTTTTACCTTTCGAATAAATATATTTTCAGAAAATTACTCGTGGGTGACGCGAGTTTTGTCGAAATAACTTTCAGGTCCTTCTATTTTTAAAAAGACAACCAAGGTCCTTATATTTTGTTGTAATGACTGAGAGGAGACATTTCATCCAATACATCATCCGTAAGTGTTAATAAATGAAATTTTTTCCTATTTTTCCTATTTTGCCATTACCTTGTTTTTTCTTTTTTTAAAATTTTTTTATTTCATTTGTTTTAATATAATACAAACAATTTTGAATTTTTATACGATTTTATAGAAGAAATTCTAAAATAACACTTTAAAAAAATAGTAACAAAATGAAAGAAAAATAAAGAAATAAAAAAAGGAGCGACCTAAGATTTATTACCTTAAAACATTTAGAAAAGAATAGGAAAAAAATACATTTATTAACGTTTATAGATGAAATATTGGATGAAATGTCCCCTTCTAGGTATTACAACAAAATGTAAGGACCTCTGCTGTCTTTTTGAAAATAAAGGAACCTGAGAGTTATTTCAACAAAACTCGCGTCATCCGTGAGTAATTTTCTGATATATTTTTGATCACTATAAAGCGTCTGTTCTTTAGGACTGGAAAAAAAATCTGGATATTGGAAGAAATTGGAAGAGACGGAGAGATACTGGAAGGAACTGGAAGAAACTGTAGGAACTAGAAGAAACTGAAAGACATTGAAAAAATTAAATGAAACTGAAAAAACTTGAAAAAATTAGAAAATCTAAAAAAACTTGAAAAAATTAGAAAATCTAAAAAAACTTTAAAAAAATTTTTTTGGGTATTTTTATATTATTCTTATTCTAGATCTTTTTGTTATAAATTATTAATATTGTTGTTGTTGTTATTTATATTTATATATATGCGCAATATTTTACATAATAGAGACAATAAAAAGTAGATCAAATGAATGAAAGTATAACTTTTTTATTTGTATTTTAATTATTGATGATATTATTTGTAATCTGAATTTGTTTTTTTACACTTTTCCGATCGTTTTTTTCTTTTTCAAGATGTAGTTCTCTTTTGGTTTCATAATGTAGTACTCTCAACCCCATACCATTACTATATTTTAGATCAAAATATTTATGTTTTCATTATATAAATTTAGATTAAAAAACATTTTATGTAACTAGTTTATCCATAGTTTTTTAAAAATAGTTTAAAATATTGATATTTTCCTATTTTATCATGTAGATTAATATACAAAAAATGGTATTATTCATATTGAAATGTTGAAGAAAAAAAATAATAATCAGTGTGAATCATAAAAATAGTAAGAAGAAAAATGAAATAATTTATAAACTATAGTTATGAACATAGTAGGTGTAATAATAATAACAATAATAATATACTCCCTCCGTCCCGTAAAACATGGGACTTTTGCTTTTTAGGAGGGATTTAAGGAGAGTGTATTTTGGTATTGAATTTCCAAAAATGTCCTTTGATGTGATAGGTAAAAGTATGATTTGATGGATAGATTATTAGTAAAAAGGTATGATGTGATATGTAGGGTATGAAAAAGTAGGGGGTAAAAGGGTTTTTTTAATAGAAATGAGAAGTGTTTTGTGGGACGGATAAAAAAAGAAAGGAGAAAGGTTTTATGGGACGGAGGTAGTATTATTTTGAGGAGTAGGACGAGTTTGAAGAAAATAAAAATAGTTGGAAGAAACTAGAAGAAACAAGAATGAACTGGAAAAAACTGGAAGGAACTGGAAAAAACTGGAAGAAACTGTAAGAAACTAGAAGAACGTGGAAAAAACTGAAAAGAATTGGAAGAAGTTGAAAGTTAAGAGTTCAAATCTTAAAGAACAGTTTCTAAAAGTAGGTAATTTTTGTTTTTAGTTTTTGTAAAATACATTTTTGTTATGATTTTTACTTTTTACTTTTTCGTAATAAACATTTTAGTCTTTCATTTTTATTACTCCAACACAATTCACATGTCCTAAATTACATTCTTATTCATAACATCTCAAATTTCTAAATTTTTTAAGGAATATAGTATTGTAAAAGTAGAAATTGTAGATGTAATTTGATAAAGAAGACGATATATGGCATGTGAATTTTCTGAGGTGACTAAAAAAGCAAGATTAGGATGTTGAATACGAAATAAATGTATCATCTCAATAAATTAGAAGTAGAAATTATGTTAAAATATCATTTCTAAAATAAATTTTTTTTGTATGATTGACTTAAAACAAAATTTATAGATACCAAAAACAAAATAGAAAGGCGCCTATTTTATAGGAACTAAAAAATATATTTAACTCATCATAGATATTGCATATGTCACCATTAAGTTGTGTTTGTGAAACTCAAAAAAATGAATGATACTCTCCCATCATAAAGATGTTTTCAAGTTGATTTAATATACTTTTAATAAAATTAAAAAGGACAGAAATTTACAAATTATTTTTAATGAAAGTGAATGGATAATATTAAATGAAATGAGTGAGGTGTAATAAATAAAAAGAGTGAGAATAATTTTGGTACTATAAATGTAAAAAAAAATAATAAGATCTTTCATGTTAGAAAAAATATTTGATAAGATTTTATATGAATAGATAAAATACTGTAAACTTGGTAATACCTCTTTGACGTATAAATATTTTAGTCCATAGGCTTGCTATCAATATAAATATTTTTTTACGAGTTTCACGCAAGTACAATTATCAAGAGAAGTATTGATTCATATGGAGGTAATAAACAAATTAACCATGTTAATAATTCTTACAATGATTAACAAAATGAGGTCGTGCACGTTTATCTGACTAGGATTCGTCTAAAGTTCTGTTATTAACGTGTGATACTTATAACAATATTTCAAAGAATTTCAAAGATTTGTTTTCGAGCCATTGGATGCTATAAGTAACTATTAGAGCACTGGTAATGGGTTTGAAGCCCCGGGGCTTCAAACCGGGGCTTCAAACCTTCTCTCTCTGCCACGTCAGCTTTAACTTACACCCAAAATTCACTGGAAATGGGTTTGAAGCCCCGGGGCTTCAAACTGGGGCTTCAAACCTTCATTTTTACATTTTTAAATAAACATCTTCTAAAATTAAATTAATAAACTTTAATTATTTAATTATTTAAAAGAATTGAAATGATAATAGTTTGTTAAAAAAATGCATTCATTAGAAAAAATTACATTCATTAAATAAAAAAAATTAAATTCATTAAATAAAAAAAATTACATTCATTAAATAAAGAAATTACATTCATTATAAAAAACTACATTCATTAAATAAAAAATTATATTTATGACAATATAAAAAATACTTGAATAATAATTTTTTAAAAAAAGATGATAGATAGAGAGAAATTTATATTTGTGTTAAATTTAATTTAATTTATAGAGAAGAAAAGAGGAAAAAAGAGGGGGAGAGAAGAAAAAGAAGGCGTCAAACGCTTTCAAATTGTGTCAAACTTATAACGCGGAAAATTTAACGCTGGTTTAACGGGGGAGGGGGCGGTGTTTAACGCCCCCCAAGCGTGAAATGCTCATTAACGCCCAGCGGCGTTAAGAGTATACCCACTGCTCTTATTGAATTGTGACAATGTCTTACAATAAGCTCTTTGATCAGATCGAGGTACATCGCATAATATGTTTTGTGTCGCAACACAAAAGTAGCATATTCACTCCGAAGATCATTAAAATATTTCAATGTCGCGAAAACAATAAAAATTTATCCCAACTCCTAAATTTAATGTTCGCACAAGTTACAAACTGCTAACTCAATGTACCCAAAAGTTAGGAGTTAGAATATACTTTCAACACTAGACAAAAGCTCTCTATCAAGATTTTGAATAAACATAGACATATTTAAATCTATATTCGTTCAAAATCTATTGTATCGAATAATCCTTTAATAAACAATTATCACATGATGGAGGGAGTAGCAAATTTTTAAAATGTAATAGTAATAGAAATAGAAAATAATATCCACCTGCCCGAAAAATATATAAAAGTTTCTCCAAAATAAATGGGTGATACAAATTTTTTTTATTCCATCAAATATCGGATTTTAAACTCATCCATTGTTTCTTCCCGATTTGGGGATTTTTTTTTACTTTCTATTAAACTAATGACTTTATTATTACTGCGGAGTAATTTTTTTTACATCTCCTTAAATTTGTGCTACTCCGTAATTGAGAATTTGATATGTCATGATAAATAGAATTGAAGAAATCCGACCGCTGGGCCCCCCTAGACGGAGGAGGAGGGGACGGGGCGGCGTTGGCCGCCACAAGCGATGCAGGCGAGCAGGAGGATGGCGGAGGAGGCGCCGTCGTCTTGGAGCTGAGAGTAAAAGCTCTTCTTGAACTTCTGGCGGCCCTTCCCTTTCTTACTCTGCGTCGCCGCCGCCCAGTGCGGCGCCGCTTCTTCTTCCCCCCCTTCTAATTGCTTCCTCTTCCCCTCTTCTTCTGCCGCCATTCTTGACACCATTTTTGCTTCCTTAAATTAAATTGAATTACTGTAATTTTATGAAAACTCTTCCCTCTATTTATACACACATTTATTTGGATCTGGTCAAACCATTTCTTAACAGACATCGAATTTTTAAATTATTTGAAACCGACGTTGGCGGGGCACGGTATTAAATTCGGAGGGGTAATAAATTACGTGCCCGATTGTAATTAAAAGAAATATTTGGGGGGGACTAATCTGCAACCAACAGCTTTTTAGTTGGGGCTCAATATTTGTCGTCTTGTCCCGTGACACCACGTTAAAAAAGAAAAGAAAAAGGAACAATCTTAAAGGTACATACACCAAGTTACATTTCAAATTGTGTACAACATCACTATGTTGCAAGATGAATTATACTATTTGAACCAGATACCAACCAAAGTCTGTAATTTTTAAAATTATTAAATAAATAAAAAATGAACTATTTAAAAATTAAATTAAAAGTTCAACAATATAAGATATGAGAGGAATATTTTATTGGATGATCAGTGAAGACATTCAAAATTTCAAACAAACAGAAGTTATCGAGAGACTGTAATAATAAAGAAGTATATTATTTTGGGAGTGAGGGATTGCATTTCTTATCTATTTTTTCTTTTTTATCTATATAAAAATGTGTGATAAGGAAAGTGCGATGTGCAATTTAAAGGATGAGCCACATCTTCGAGAGAAGCCTGCACCTGCTACTTACAGAAGTAAAAAAATTTTCTAGTTTGACTCTGAAACGGAGAGAGTAGGATATTCCAACGGTGGAGCGAAACATGTTTTGTACTTTTATTATTCTATGTTTCCAATAACTTTTGTTTATGTATCCCTTTTGATGGGTCATTTACTAAAATAAAATAATTATGACATTACTAGTTTTGTAAAATTCTTAGTGTATGAATTTTAATACATAAAATAATTATTTATATTGAATTTTTTAAAATAAAAAGATTAATTATGAGCTTATTCTGGAGTAGCAAGTAGCAACCCAATAGCTGTTGTTATAATTTACAGGCCAATTCTCAAGAATCAAGATTAAGACTAAAATATAAAGAAAACCTCTCGAATAGGAGTAAAACATATGTTATATCCTCAGAGGGTGTTTGAGAGTATGGTGAGTTATGTAAAAGTAGAAGCCATAATTTAAAAGCAGAAAGCCAGAAAGCATGTATTTTTAGCTTTGCTAGAAAGCATTTCTAGACCTTAATATTAACTTCTAAAACCATAATTTATAAGTTAAAGAAGATTAGCAAACATTCAAAATTGTGTTTTAGTAAAGTAGAAGTTATAAGTTATTTTCAAATGCAAACACCTTCTAGTAAGAGCTCAAACATAAACTTCTCTAAATAGGAGTAATTAAATAGAAAAAAACCTGCCTATTCCCAGCGCACTACTCAATACAGAAAGGAAAAAAATCTTCTTACACCTTTATGATTTCATTTTTCAATTGCTTTATTTATGCTCAATCGGACCCAATATTTTTTGTTCTTGTTTGGTCCCTCTCTAAACATTCTCTCTTTTATATTTCAAGGAAAAAGAGAGTGGTACTGGTTTAATATTTTTGTTTCTAAATGAATCCTAGCTACAAAAGAATCATTTTTTTTCAAATTCCGTGCCAAGACAAACCTAGAATTTAAGGAATGGATGGTAGGAGTGTATTTTTTTATTTGTATAAGCAACAACTGAGACTAAATAAATGCAATGCTGGTGTGGTGGTTGCAGGTGGACACAAGCCTGGAGTCTTCGAGATGGTGTTCATTTGTTTGACATTATTCATTTATTTGACATTTTAAATTTGCAAGAGTGACATTATATATGATAATCTGTGGCATCATGCATTATCATATGTGACATTATATATGATAATACGTGGCATCATGCATTATCAAGGAAAAAGAGAGTGGTACTGGTTTAATATTTTAGAAATATAGAAGACCAATTCTTCTATTTAACATATTCCCTCCGTCCAACAATAATGTTCATGTTACGCGTTACGATATTTGACTAAAGTTATTTTTAAACCATTTTATATAAAAAATGGTATAAAATTTAAAAAAATGAAAATTACATATCTAAAAACTACATGAAAAAATCTACAAAACTATAGGTGACATGACTATATTGTTTTATCAAATGAACAACAAAAATATGTCAATAAAGTGAACAAAGATGTAAATAGTGAACGAGAACATTAGTATTATAAAAAATCATCATTATAATTCTTCTAAGTGAGAATAAATAAATAAATACTCCACCTGTAGAATTTTGGAAAAACTGAACTTGGTTTCATTCAATATTCACAACGTATATATACATGTGCCAAGTCCTACTCCAAGTATGGAAAGGACTACTAACAAGGAAACTAATTACACTACTAACAAGGAAACTAATTACAAAGGAAACTAATTACATATATGGTAGTAAATAAATATATATGCTAACACTCTCCCTCAAGTTGGAGCATGGAGATCACGAATGCCCAACTTGGACAATAAGAACTCGAAGAGAGGCCTGTTCAAAGCCTTAGTGAACAAATCAGCAATTTGTAGACGAGTAGGAACATATGCGGTGGCGATCTCACCGCGCTGAACGCATTCACGGACAATGTGGCAATCAATATCAATATGTTTCATGCGTTCATGAAAAACAGGATTGGCAGCAATAAACAAAGCGGACTTGTTATCACAAAACAAACGTGGCGTTGTCGGTGGAGTAATGCCGAGTGCCCCAAGAAGACCGCGGATCCATCGTACCTCTGCACATGCATTAGCCATGACAAGATATTCAGCTTCTGCTGATGAACGGGACACGGTGGTTTGTTTCTTTGTTTTCCAAGAAACTGGCGAGCCACCTAGAAGGATAAAGTAGCCGCTCACAGAGCGACGAGTAAGAGGACAAGATGCCCAGTCGGAGTCACTATAAGCAGATAGCTGTAGTGAGCTGTCACTACGTAAGAGAATACCCTGTCCTGGATGACCCTTCAAGTAGCGAAGGACTC